CATTAGTAGAGAATAAGAAACTGTAGAGTGCTCAAACTTAAATAGGACATCTATATCACAGTTTTCTCCACACAGGTCAGTGAACTTCTTGGAAGACTTCAAGGAAGCAGTGTTTTACAGAGAGGAGGGCAGCTGCACATGTAAACTTGTAGCAATAGTGACAGTGTGTACAAGACATGTTCAAGCTCAAGCTACGCAAATCCTGTCGTGGGTGGGGTAATTAGGTACAAATCCCCACCTCTTGCTAAGGGATTATGGGCATTTAATTGTTTCTGGGGAAGAGTCAATTTTCTTGAGGGGTGTGACCCTTGGTAGGCTGACCACAATCCAAGGCAGGTTCCATACCCAAGAGTATTTGGGTAGCACAGATTTGACTTGATGGGGGGTGGGCACAAAGTTTGGTAGGTAGAGGGGTGTAGGAGGGCTGGGAGGAGTTGTGTGAGCTGAAACATAATCAAAATACACTGCATGAAGTTCTCAAAGAATTAATAAAAATATTGAAAATCAAACACAACGGAACCAAAAAGTGATTAAAATGGCTTCCTCTTCCCCAGCAGCCATTGGTTATAAATATCCCTAGCTAGGGGTGGAGCCTTACAGTCTCCTCTTCCATACTGTATGTTGCTTGGCTTGCTCTTGAGCAGGTCTGGTTCAGGTAATCTTAGCTGCTATGAGCTCATGAGTGAAATGGCTATGTCTTATCTAGAAGATAGGATTTCATAGCATTCTTCTTACCCTCTAGCTCTTGCATTCTTTCCATGATGTTCCCTGAACCTCAGGGAGGGGTGACAGAACTGTACCATTTAGTGCTGAGAACTAAACAGTGATTTATTCTCAGCACTTTGACTGGTTCCAATACTCTGTATTCACTGCTTCCCACTTCAACAAGAAGCTTCTGTAACCAAAGTTGAAAGAAGCATCAACCTCTATGGGTATAACATAAATATTTAGAAGCAGTTGGATATGTTCATTAATCAAAACAACAGTAATAGGTTTCTCCGAGGACCTAAGAACTCTCCAGCCATGGGCTTTTGACTAGGTATGAATTCATACCTAGGTACCAGGTATGAATTCCCTCCTGGCCTTATATCCAATCAAAAAGTGGTTGGTTACTCTCATGACAGTTATGCCGCTTTACACCAGAAGGTACATGTTGCCTGACAGAGGAGCTGGGTTTTTTAAGTTAGGAAACTTTATTACTGCTTCAGTTTCATTGTTTGCTATAGATCTGCTTAAATTATCTTATCTTGGATTAACGTTGATAGGTTGTATTCATGCAGAAATCCATTCATTCCTTTTTCCTAATATAGCATTTTACAATTCAATGTTTTTTAATATATGGCATAAATTTCCTGTATTTCAATGGTAACTGTCACAATTTCTCTCTCTCTTTTCATCTCTAATTTTTTTAATTTGGGTCTTCTCTAAGGGTTTTATCAATCTTCTTTAACTTTTAAAGAACTAACTTTTCCTTACCTTTTCTTGGGTTTTTATTTCATTAATATCTACCATGATCTTCATTATTTCTCCCCAAATGTTGCTTTTAGGTTTGGTTTGTTGTTGCTTTCCCAAGGCTTTCAAGTACATCATTAGATGATTTATTTGAGAGCTCTATGATTTTTTAATTTATGCACTCAGAACTATATATTTCCCTCTTATGACTGCCTTCACTGTATCAGATAAAGTACAAGGGGTTATTTAAATTTTTCTGTTTTCAAAGCTTGAATTTTGTTAGAGTATGTGATCTATTTTTGAGTAAGTTCCATGGGCTGCTAGATGAATGTGTATTCTCAAGTGTTTGAGCAGAATGTTCTGCAAATGTTTGTTAAGTCTGTTTGATCTATGATGCCATTTGATTTCAATGTTTCTGTTTATTTTCTTTTTTGTCTTGATGATCTGTCAAATGACACGAGTTGGTACTGAAATTACCCACTATTATTGTGTTGTACTTAATCTGTCACTTTATATCTAGTAGTATTTGTTTTATTAAACTGGGCTCACTGTAGCTGTGATACTCATTAGCCTTTGTTCACCCTTCAGAAATGTGAGGATGTACTATTTGTTTCCTTTGAAGGGCTCCTTCTCGGGATGGAGGTACAGTATAGTATGCTGTGAATGGTAATCATGACTCCTGAACCTCTCTGAGGAGATGGTGCACTGTACAAAGTCTGAACACTAAAATCTTTTATGGATAGCAATACTTATATTGTAGGTTCTGTAAGGAACTTAAAAGCTCTATAGGCCTAGGGTTCTAGGATGATGAATTCAACTTCAAGATGTAGATTTATGACTGATGAAGAACTTATAAGGGCATTGCTGGATTAGAAACAAATCAGACAAGGGTACTCAAAAGTCAGCTTAAATTTAAAACCAAGGATAGGTCTATAATGTAGCTAGGGAAAGATTTGGTTTATGTACATTATTTATTCATACTGTTCCTGAGAGCCATAGATTCAAATGTTGATCACAGTCAGAGAAGGACACAGAGTTGGAAGGAAAAGCCTTAGAATGGGGCTCTTACTCTTATTTGCCCCACCCCCATACTACCTGCAGAGTCCTTGAAGCAACAAGTGGGAGATTAAGCTGGGCAGGAGTTCCCTTAAAGCAGAATGAACTGGCTTTTTGTTCTTTCCCTCCTATCAAAAGGCAGATCTAGGTCACATGTCAGCAGCCAGCACAAGACACTAACTAAGTGACTAACAACTATATCACCTGATCTCTGTTCCCAGTCAGCAGTATCTTCACCTGTAATGCTGCAGAGCCTGACATATCAAACATGGAAAATAACAGTACTTACAGGATGTTTGTGAAAATTAAACATCATTATGGGGTCCCTTTTATATGCCAGATATGATCTGAATTCATTATTCAGTTCTCTTTAAAATGCTCTTTTGATTGATTTTTATGTGTATGAGTGTTTTGCCTGTATGTATGTAGGTGTATCCGTGTTGTGCAATGCCCTTGAAGGTCAGAAGAGGGTGTCAGCTCCCTTGGAACTGGATTTTGTTTGTAGTTGCCATGTGTGTGCTGGAAAGATAACTCAGGTCCTCTGCTAAAGCAGCCAGTACTCTTAACTGCTGAGCCATCTCCTAATCATTTTTTATTTGAACACAGAAATTACTTCGTTTTTTTTTTTTTTCCATTTTAACAACAGCTCAAGAAAACCCTTCTCAGCTAAGGACATGGACCTAAATCTTCAATAATGTTTTCAAAATATCATATTTATCAATTTCCCATTATCTCTTCATTTTCATTTTAATAAAATGAAAATGTGTGTCCAGTTTTGACCTGTGGCATCCAGGTGGTCTCCTGTTTGTACGGTTTATAGCACATACTTGATTCACCTTTTCATTTACCTAACCATCAGGGGAGATTTTCCATCTCGGAAGAAATTCATTCATAACTTCATTTAATAGACAGGAAGCTTTTTTTTTTTTAAAGCAGGGTCAATTTCTTTTTGATTTTTATATTCCAATTACTGAGTATCTAAGTCATAATTAACATGGGCTTAATTTGTTCAAACCATGTGTAGTAGGCTGAAATCTCAAGAAATAAATGGCTCAACTCTGCAAGAAACCATGAAATACCAGAAAAAGTGCTTTTCTTTTCCATTACTATAGACTCCAAAGTCCCATTTTGAGGAGAAAGATTTATTTTCTCTTCCAGTCTAGACAAAGAATTCTAAAGCTATTTGCAGTTGCCTATCATTTCAGTGGCAGACTTGTCCCCTGCCCTCACCCAGTCATACATATTCTCAAAGTTATTTTGTGAAACAGTTTCCCTCTGACAATGCTGTAGAGAGAACTGAACAGAGCTTTAGCCTTGTTAGGTTTCTGGCAGGCTCCTAAAATGGTGGCACAGCTACCATGATTCTAAAATGGCAAGTTTGAACGTACCCCAGGAAAGTCCTTCTGCATATTGGGAGACTAACCAATCCCAAGCTAAATTGTTCACCCTGCGTCACGGAGCTACCTAAGCACCTAACTGCCTATAAAAGCTATCTGACTTCCCCTGCTGGTTGCTGTTTCTCTGCTCCCCGAGATGCCTCTGTTTGCTCTCAAATAAATTGCTGTTCCCCATGGAGTTGTCTGGTTGGTGGTCTTCAATGCACACTTCCATACAAGCCTCCTCTCAAACCAGCATAACACATAAATCTGTAAACCAATCAACCGGATTACTCAGTAAGCAAATACCAGTCCAACGTTTTGATACTATGAAGAACTAGTGGAATCATGCCTTAAGTTGCTTTGGTAGCCCGATGTGATATTGATATAGCTGTATTTATTTGTCTTTATTAAGTTAAAGCCAGTGTGGTCTACAAAAAGCTAAAAGCCATTAGAGTGTTAAGACTAGAGCTCAATAATTATTTCACTATGTGACAATATAGTTAGTACTTATGTGTTTCATGGATTATGAAATATACAAACCAACTTTAGAAAAATAACAGACTCATGAAATTTAAAAAGCTCTAAGTGGAGAGACTTATCTATGCATTTTGAAGATGTGTTATTTTGATGACTTTAAGTAAATGCAGAGTCTGTTTCTTTCAAGTTAGCCTAAGACAAGAAGGAAAAGACTGAAAGATCAGGATACTATGATCAGAGCCGCAGGAATTAACATTTACACTTTGATATGTCACATAACTTGAAATGATTTGTCAACTGGACAACAGCGTTGTCTCTTTTATTATCACATTCAAACAGCATCAGAAAAACAACCTTCATTTGATTCTTACTAAGATTTATTGTTTTAATAATGCCACTTTTCAGAAGTATAGTCATGTGCTCGCTTAAGACAGGCTGACAAAATGAAAACTGGTATGGATGCAAAGAACCTTTTGGGCCGTAAGTTAAGACATATATAGTGTAGTGACAAGTCAATAAAATGCACACAGCAGACAGCAAACCCCAGCCTCCCTTTCCCATCACCTGGCTCCCATTTTGCACCAAAGAACCTACAGTGGAAATCTGGCAAAACATAGAACACAGATGGCTACCAACTGACATGAAAAGTAAATTTTATTAAACATGTTTACATACATGAGTTGGAAGTTCATTTAAAAGCACAGGGGAGTGTTAAGACAAGTGGTCAAAATAGAAAGATACTACCCAATTATAATCAGTTGATCGTTGGCCACTAAGACAGAACGGAATCTAGTAGAAGTGCACCAATGCTTCAGTTCTTCCTGCTCAGCATGGTGAGCAGTGGTCAATCTGTGCCCTGTGGAATGATGGGCAGATAATTCTGACATGTGTAAATAATAGTAAATAATTCACTTGGTGCAGGCAGTATGTCTATGGATTAAAACCTAGTGTGTACACAGTGTCTACGTGTGTTACAGCCCCACAGGAGGAATCTACACCAAAATATTATTAGAAGGAATTTGGTCCGTACTACATAATGTTTTCCAGAGGGTAAAAAATAAAGTCCATCTATAGACATTTCACCCCAGACCCACAGACTTGAGTCTAGCTAAAACCTGCAAAATGTCTATAACAAAAATGGATGGCTTAGATTTCTTGGTTATTTCAGTATAGTAATTAACAAGCAAACTGTACAAGCACATGCGACATACAGGCTAGCCTATGTGGAGCTAACATACATTATTAAATAACCTTTTGTCTCTCTTTGCTTTTTTTCTTTTTTTTTTTTTTTTTTTTTTTTTTTTTTTTTTTTTTTTTTTACAAAATGTGCATGCAGCTTCGAACAGTTCCAAGTCATGCTGCTCTATATGTGTAATCACAAAAGTTGAATGACTCATAAAAGGAGGGAGAATGTATTTATGCACCTGCCGTATCTGCAGTTTGTAGCACATACACAGAATGTCACAAGAGAAATTCAAGGCCAAGGAAAAACTCAAACAAAGAAAATGCAAATTGAAATTGACTCTGTATTATCTTTTCTTTCAAAAAAGTAAGATATTGTGCATTAAAAAACCAAGCTTTGTGCTTGCATTGACCTTAAAGAAATGTAAACTAAAATTCAATAAAAACATTTGTTTAGTGCAGAATATTTCAACTGGAATTTCCAGTGGAATATTAAACAGCTCACACCATGCTCTTTCCAGGGCAGATGGAGGTGTCTATACTGAGGCATGGCTGAGAAGCCTGGGCATAGCTGAAAGTGTCTTAGGCTCAAATCCACTCTTAGTCACCATTTTGGGAAGTCCATAGTATGGTTAATACACATAAGCATATTTTCTTTTGATATCAGGAAGTAAAAGGCATTGCAAGGAGGGTTTCTGAAGCACAATTTTGTGGTTAACTTTCATCCCCAGCATTAGTTGCAGATTGACTTGAAAGTCTTCCATGCAAAACAATGGAAAACATAAATGAATTTTCTGTAATGCAAACAGATATGCTCTTCATCTAAAAACTGATTCTGTGACTGCTAGTTTGGAAGGTAATTTTTGCCTTTTGGGTTTCCACATATAAGACTCTGAAGAACTATAAACTGAAAGCCAGCAAAACACAACACTGGCCTCACCTAGCCTAGCTGTTGAATACTTTGGGGGAAATGCTACAGAGACAGCTTCAGCCCTTTTTTGGTGCATTTGGAAAAAGAAAGAAGGGTCTCTGTTAACATCATTAATTCTGTTCTGACAAAGCAATAAAAACAAAACAGTAGAAACAACAAATACGGTGAAGACGGAGAAACAGAGACTTGAGAGAAAAACCAAAACAAACAGCAAAGAACCCACAAATAACCAAAGTAAACAAAAGAACAAACCTCAAAGCCAGGGGAATAACACTGCTTGTCGTCTGTGTAGAAACATGTAAAACATAACTTTTCACAGAGTGAGAGTTTCCAGTTTGTTCAATTTGGTGTGTGTGTGTGTGTGTGTGTGTGTGTGTGTGCGCGTGTGTGGTGTGTGAACTTGAGGTTTCTTCTTTTCCTATTTGTTAGAAGCATCAGTGACTCTCACTAGCACATTGATTCTTATGTAATTTGATATATTGCCTTGTTCTGTCATATGAAGTCATGTTTTAAACAACAGTTGGGACATATTATTGAGAAACAACTACAGGAAAAACACAAGTTGATTGTCTCCAACAATGCTTTTGATCATGAAATATCTGGTTCAGATCATTATCCTGAAAGGTAGAGTTTGCTTGGAATGACTCTGGCATGAGTTCACTATGATCGAATGCAAGGAGGCCCAGTGGAACTTTCCAGAGATGATTGGGAAGCCCGGCGTGTCAGGGGAGTGAGTGTGGGATCTACCAGTGATGATGGTGGAAACAATTTGTACCATCCAATCACCATGCTGGACAGATCAAGTTCTTCCAACAAGATTTGAGCCACACCCATAAAACATTTGTGGTCCATTCTTCCATAATCTCCCCAGACAATCACCTGCAGACAGAGAAATGCAACATTAGTCAACCTTATCTTTTTTTTCATACTTGTGGGGCTCAAAGCTCCTGTTCTGTAAAAATGGGAATCAGTAAAGAAAAGCAATAAATGAATAAATGAATAAATAAATAAAACTAAGAAAAGGAAAAAGCATAAATGTTACCAGTGTTAAGGGGCTGAGAGACAATCCACAGTAATTTTCGAGGAATATCCTCTAAATAAGTCAGGTTAAGGAAATATCTCTATCTAATCTATGCTTAGATAAATATATATATCATATATAAATATATAACTCATATATAAATCAGCACTGTCCTTGTATAACTTCTGCATAAGGAATATGAAAGTCTATAGAGATAAAAACTAAAATTAGTGAATCGAGGAGGGCAAATAAGCAACCTTGCATGGTTCATGGCTTGCATTTTCAATGGAGTGTGCAAACAGAAAGAGAATTCAGATTTCTTTTATACTATAGACTTGTTTGTGAATGGGCAAGTTGAAAAGCAATTGTAAGTTGGTATCTTCTGAAGAAATGCTTGACAATCTGTTTTGGTCAGATAATTAGTAAGTCAGTGAGCTATGGTCTGAGTTAATTCCACTGGTGTCAAATAAGCCTTCCATTACATAGTACCAGGTTCTCTGTTCTAATCCTGAAGCCATCTATAAAGGTTCACTAAGGAATCATTCACCGTCTTTACACAGTAAAGCTGGTGAATCCTGTCCTTTCAATGCACTGAGTTACATTGACCAATTACTTAATTTCTGTGATCCTAAGAATATTTAACTTGGGAATATTAGTATTTATTTCATATAATAGTCACAAATTTTCAAAGAAGTAATTGTATGTAAGCACCTACTAATGCACCTGGCATTCAACTAGGTGCTGGTCACTACACTCTTTATCTCCATTCTTCCACTTTATAGATCATTTCTGGTACATAGTAATGATCAATCACCCATCCATCCATCATTTATTATCTGTGTATCTATCACTTGTCTACTACCTATTGCATATGTATATATGTATGCACGTATCTCTATCAATCAATCAATCATTCAATCATACATATATATCATCAGTTCATCTATGTATCAGGAAGAGGGAAAAGATGATAAATAAAAGGTACATACTTTGGAGAGAATAGAAATAAGGAAGGAAAGGAGAAAGATCTTCAATTTGCTTTCCATTAAGTACATCAGATATTGCTAATATACATTATTTTGTTGTAAATTAACCACCTGTTATTTTTCTATTGAAGGATATAAAAATTTGGGGCTTCACTGAGTTTCATTCTCTTGATATCTATCTGTACCTTCAGTGCAGCTAACAGATATTATCATGTAAAATGTCACACAAACCGTAACTGACCTGAAGAACTTTACCCTGTGGACTTTCATCAAAAACCAGGGACTGTTGATACAAAGGATCAAGAGTTTTCCGTGCAATTCTTGTCTTCTTCTTTGCAATACAGGCCCCATTTTCCAAAAGATACACTTTGACATAGGGAGCTAAACAAAGGTGGATAGACATGGAAGAATTTATTGTTTGAATGAACTTCATTTTTATCTGAGAATGATTCTCTGGGAATTCGAGATTGTTATTAAAAGTTTCCTGATCTGCTACAGGCCTTTCCACTGCTCAAAAAATTGTACTCCTTTTGACTCGATAGGCCTTAACATGCATGACAGAGTACATGAAATGTGGTGGGGGCTATAAGATGGCTGTACATTGGAGGGGGATCTAAATATGTCAAGCCATATTATATGAAATTTGCACAAATTCTATGAAATAAAATTAAAACACTCTACTCCTAAAACCCACATACTGCCATTACAGCTACTTTCTTCATTTCTAGTAAATGCTTACAGAAAGTATTCTAAAGATTTTGACTTATTTGGTTCATGGCTAGCACTGCAATGCAGGTTTACATTTTAAACCTCATTTTTTTTTTCTTTTAAGTGTATAGAAATAAAATAACAGACACAAGCCAAGATATAGTTATGATTATAATTTTTAAAATATGACATTTTTACTAGTACTTTTCATCAAAATAATTATGCAAAAAAACCTACGTCTCATTTTTCTCACCCTTTGGCTGAGATGTAGAATAAACCCAAATGCAATAAAATTTTCAAGTTTTTCCATATTTGAGAGTCTTGCCCTGGGGCTGGAGAGATGGCTCAGTGGTTAAGAGCACTGGTTGTTCTTTCAGAGGACACTTGGGTTTAGTTCCCAGCACCCACAAGGTGGCTAACAACTCTCTTTAACTCCAGTTTCAGAGACTCTGATGCCCTCTTCTGGTCTCAGCAGGCATTGCACACACAGGTGCACTTTGATACATATAGGCAAAATATATGAAATCAAAATAAATAAATAATTAGAAAATAGAGTCTTGCCCAAACTCAACAATACTTTTTCTTACCAGGTGTAGACTTGGAACCAGGTTTCTGGGTGAGGCTTCGTGCTCTGATAACTTCAACTTCTAACTGGCCCTTTTTATCCTCCATTCCAATCTGTATATCACCTGCAAGTGGAGGCAAAGCAGAATGTGTCACCTTCTGTGCAGTTATGAGACACTGAAGAGAAGCTGAGTTTCACAAACAGCTCTTAAGTGTTTTCTTGATGCTTATGATTGAAAGCTGCCATGTAGATTCCCTTTCAACTTGACTTTCATTTCCCAGTTTCTAAATCAAGTTTTGGAAGATTTCTTTTTATTCTTCTGATCTTAATTGATCTTTAATTTTTATAATATTTATTTAATCGTGTGTGTGTGTGTGTGTGCCCTCACATGGGGCACATGCAGAGGAGAGAACTGGTTCTCTGTTTCCAGACTATGAGTCCCAGGCATTGACCTCAGGTCCTAGGCTTGGCAGCCAGTGCCTTTACCACTGAGCCATCTTATTAGTTTCCTAATCCATCTTTAGAGACTTGCAAATCGGTTGAAAAAAATTAATAACTACAACATTAAAGTGTTCACAGGACACTAGTTCGCTGATGTTTTCTTGCTTTTTTTCCCACTATATACCTAGTTGTAATTATCTGAATTCTCATTATTAAGGGAAACCCACCAGTAATATTTTTTGACTATTACATCAGACTAATAAATACTATCTACCTAGCATTAATCATGACAATACATTTTCATTTTATTGATTGTTTGGACCTATTTATATAGCAAGAAGTTGGGATAGCAAGCATGGGCAAGTTTATACCTACTTAACCAGACTTCTGTTGAAGAAAATATAGGCTATTTACATTGCTACAATTAGAACTGTAATGAAAAAAAATTTTGGCAATTGTCAAAGATGTGGTCAATAATTTCTTGAACATTCAGTTCAAGGAGTTGAAGTGTATGGATTTAATTGTATGGCTATTGAAAACGTCCATGTATATGCTAAATGTCCTTCAGAAAGGCTGTACCCATATGCATTATTAACAGGGAGGTCTTTCTGCTTCCCACACTCACTAATATTGGTTTAAAAATGTGAGGGGTTGGAGAGATGGCTTAGGAGTTAAGAGCACTGACTGTTCCTGCAGAGGACCTGGGTTCAGCTCCCAGCACCCACAAGTTGGCTAAACAACTGTCAGTAACTCCAGTTCCAGGGGACTTGATGCCTTCATCTGATCTCCATGGGCACTGCCCAAACGGATGCACTTACAGACATGCAAGCAATATGTTCACACACATAAAATTAAAATAATAAAAATAAAATATTAAAAATTAATATTAAAGGATAAGTAAAAATGGAAATATGTGAAATTTCTCCAATATGATGGTGAAAGAACTGTTTTAATTTGCATTTCTTTGATGCCTAAGGAAGTAGGCATCTATACTGTCCAAACATAACAATGTAAGATTAGATTATGATCTAGCAGGCGAGAGAGAGAGAGAGAGAGAGAGAGAGAGAGAGAGAGAGAGAGAGAGAGAGAGAATGCTTTTTTAATATCTTGGCAGTATGTGTTTCAGAATTTTGGCTCTTATGTGCATGTTTTTCAAACCCATCTGTGAAACTATCTGAAGCTACCTTCCCCCAGCTAGTGGGTATCACGTTAAACAATGGTTCTAGATCTATTTGGGGTTGCTGTCTTTTCTGCTTATTCGTTCATTCCTTCTGATAGGCTGTTATTATGAATTTATGTTTTTATTTTTATGTGTGTAAGTATTCTCCCTGGGGTACCACATGCACGCAGTGCCTGTGAGTGTTAGAAGAAGTTGTCAAATCTCCTGGAACAGGAGTTACAGATGGTGGTTAGCTACCATGTGGGTTCTGGGAACAGAACCCAGGTCTTCTGCAAGAGAAGCCAGTACTGTTATCTGCTGAGCCATCTCTCTGGTCCCGATAGGTTATTATTTTTTAACAATTGATTATCTTAAGTAAATTTACACCTGTTGAACATTTGTAAACATGGTATATTTCGTTTCTTTAAAAAATTCTGTATATGTGTATGTATGATGTGTGTGTGTGTGTGTGTGTGTGTGTGTGTGTGTGTATGTGTGTATGTGTAAATCTGGGCACTTCAGAGGTCAAACTCAGGTGTAGGTCCTCACCTTTCTTGTTTGGGACAGGGTCTCTGTTCACCATTGTGTATGCCAAGCTAGCTGGCCCATAAGTTCCCAAGGATTTTCCTGTCTCTGCCTCCCATTTCTGTGCAGGAGCCTTATGATTACAGACATAAGCATGCTACTGAACCCAGATTTGTGTGAATTCTGGAGATTGAATTCAAGTCCTTCACTTGAATAACAAGTACTTTACCCACTGAGCCAACTCCTGAGCCCCACTCTTTTATTTCATATTTGGTAATAGCCATCCTAGTTGATATGCAGTGATCTAGCTTGTTATTTTTAATATTTTCATAATTTTTTGTTGTGTGAATGTCATATTTTATTTAATTATTCTCTGATCAAGGTTCTTTTCTTATTTTATTTTGGGCTATTATAAAGGATACTACAAGGAACTTGAAGATAATATATAGCTGAAAAGTTGTACTGCTGGGTCATGGTACTGTAAAAGACAATTTCTAACAAGCAAACATTGCCACAGGGAAGTATAAAGATGGCATACTTTCTGCTTCTTTACAATCTGACAGGCCTTTCTTTTTTCTCCAGCAGGGCCCCTTTAGCTGACCTTGGAGTCACACGTAGTCTGGATATCCACGCTTGGAGAACCTATCGGCCTTTGCTTCTTTTTTTAGGTTGACCAATCCAAAACCAGGGGAGGGGAAACCACTAAAATCTTTAAAACTCAGACCCTCCCTAGGTGGATGTTGTATTTTTGGTTGCTAAGTCCTGTCTCGACTTGTGGAGAGCTTCATCTTCCTTTATGAATGTGTGATTCTTTCTGTAATTGTGATTCTTTCTGTGTATGGATGTGATTATTTATCTTTTATTACAAGTTTGTCTGCTTCTTACTCTCTGATGATCTGCTTTTCCTGCCTTTTAATTCTTCAATTGGCGATGACAATGAACCCAACAATATCTTTAATGCTTACTAGATACAACCACATTATCCCAGTCAGTGATGCACTGACATTAAACATGTATCAGCAGCATATGACATTTAAATGATGTGGGGGGGAGTGTGATGTGTATTTTGTAGAACTATCAAATGAGTATGCTTTATCCCATTCTTTTTTAAAATATTTTTTATCAGTTTTTAAAATTTTATGTGTATGAGTGTATTGCCTGCATGTAGGTAAGTGCACCCATGTCGTGCAATGCCTATGAGGACAGAAGAGGCCATCGGATCCCCTGGAACTGGAGTTAAGGAGAGTTGTTAGCTGCCATGTGGGTGCTGGGATTCGAACCTGGGTTTTCTGCAAGAGCAACCAGTGTTCTTAACTGCTGAGCCATCTCTCCAGCCCCACTTTATCCCATTCTTAGATTACTAATTCAACATTATAAATGAAAACCAAATTTCCTCAAACATGCTTCTGCATGATTATGTGATGAATTATACTGTTTTCCAAATATTTAATCAGTCATGTGCTTGTGAAATAAATCAACTGCTTCTGATATTAGTATTTTTAGTATTTCTGGATTTGCTTTGCTTGGTGTTCACAGCCACATTTGAAAGTATGGGTTGAGGTTTTCAATTTGGGAAATTTCTCAGTCATTACATGTTTATTTTTGTTTGTTTGTGTTTGAGACTGCGTGTCCTGTAGTCACAGCTGGCCTGAAACTTCCTATATAGATAAGGCTGGCCTCAGTCTCACAGATATCCACTTGCCTTGTCTCCTGAGTGCTGGGAAAATGTGTATATGCATCCATGTCTGGCTTCATTGCATCTATAAAGGTGGCTTCGGTCATATATTCTCTTCCCTTGTTCTGGGACACTAATGGCACTCACATTAGAACTGGCTTTTGTTCCTCTCATCTCTTCGTATTTATAATCTTCATTCTCTGTGTCTCTGATTAATTCTGGACATTTTCCTCCAGTTAATCAAGTGTTTCCTTAGCTCTGCTTAGATAATGTATCCATTCAATTCTTTCTATTTCTCAGTTCTGAAAGAGACTCTGAGTTCCTTTAACAGTTTTAATTTTCTGATGTACTTCTCAATCTTATTCTCTTAGCCCATGAATCATATAACTTCTTTAAGATTTATTTTTACGTGTGTGTGCGCGTGCGTGTGCACTTGCCATGTGTGTGCAGATGTCTGTGGATGCCAGCAGAAGGCACTGAATACTTCGGAGCTGGAGTTATAGGCAGTTGTGAGTCACTTGACCTGGGTGCTGGGAGCCAAATCAGGGTCGTCTTGACGAGCAGCAGGTGTTTCTTAACCACTGAACATTGTTTTGATGTCATCTGTGTCTTACGTTTGAGAATAACCTATTTCATTTATGGTTATTAATTCTAGAAGGTTTTTTTCATTTTTGTTTAAATTATTTGATTTATTTATTTTTATTTTATGTGTATGAGTGTTTTGCCTATGTGTATGTAAGTGCACCCATGTCATAGAGTCCTGTGTAGATCAGAAGAGGACATTGGATCCCCTGGAACTAAAGTTAAGGACAGTTGTTAACTCTCATTGGGGGCTGGGAATTGAACCTGGATCCTATGCATATGCAGTCAGTGCTCTTAACTGCTGAACCATCTCTCCAGCCTTGCTGTATAAAGTATTTAATTAGTAATTTAATTTTTGAGAAAAGATCTCATTATATAGCCCAGGCTGGTTTGGAAATCAGCTGATCTGAAACCCATGATCCTGATCTTCCTGTCTCCGCCTCCTGTGAACTGGGATTACAGGCGCATGCTACTATACTGAGATATTTTAATTTATTTTATTTAATATTATTTCTTTCCTTTCTGAATTTTGCTCTATAATGACTTTATTATTTATTATGTTAGTTCTTTGTTAGTATACAATTTAGACATTGAATCTCTTTTATTTAAGACACTGAAACACAGAATACATATAGAATCCATATTTTCTACCATAATATGAAGTAATTTTCTATCAAAAATCTAATGTTAAAAATTTTTGACGCACAAGTAAGAAAAGGATATTTAAATTTATTATTAATATGTGTGTGTACATGTCGTGTATGCAATGGCCCGTGTGTGGAGGTTAGAGGATAACTCTGTGGAGCTGGCTTTTTCCTTCCACCTTTACGTGGGTTCAGGGATTGAGGTCAGTACACATCTTGCTTCAGGCACCTTTACCCAGGGAACCATCTTGCTGCTTTGCAGCATAAAACCTGGATCTTTATTTATCTACGAACTGGCCAACTTCTAAGTTATGTGGGTGTCAGCTAGCATTTGCTTCAGCTTGATTTTCTAAGTATTTTCAAAAGACTTCTACGCAAAATCCTTATCTCATTGCTGTTTTATGCTAAATGATAAAAATTAATAGCAATTAAAGAAAAGTAAATTTACCTAGTTTCTTTCATTTTGCTCCCATCAGTCCTCTATTTTAGTTTTTTCTTTTTTAAAGATTTACTTTAATTAATTACATGTGTGTTTGTATGTGTGTGAGTATGTACAGGAGTGCAGGTTCCCTCAGAGGCCAGAGTCATTGGATGCCCTGGAGATGGAGTTACAGATGCTTGTAAACAGCCTAATGTGGGTACTGGCAACTAACACAGGTCATCTGCAGGGACCTAGGCTCTTAACCGTTGAGCAGTCTCTCAAGCTCCAAGCTTATTTTTATGTCTGAAGTGCGTCTTTTAGTGAAGAAGTGGGCAGTAAGCTTTGTGAATCTTTTCATGGGCACACCTTTCATCTTTATTTGTGAATAAAATTTTCTCTTACTATAGAATTTTACGTAAGCAGCGCCGCCCCCCTTTTTTTAAACAGCTTGAGAATCATTTCTTCTAAAACTTTTCTGGCATGGCTGAAAAAAAAGAACTTACTTTATTTCCTTGCTTAGCGATCTGTCTTCTTCCCTATGACTTCAGAAAAGGTTCTGAAGGTTTTCGAGGAAGTAGTTTGTCTTTGTTCATTTTTTGTATCATTTAGTTGACCACACTCAGTCACTCAGATTTCTGTGACAGGAATGCTTAGGAATGCCATTTTTTTCTAAAAATTCTCTCTGAATTTCTTACTTTATGATCTTATTAGAAGAAATTAGATTTTTAAAAATCCTTCTTTACTCTCTAGTTCTCTATATAAAAATAATTGTGTTTTCTTCTGGTGATTTTCTATTGTCTTTCTGGTATTTCATTAATCATATCTTTAGTTTTACTCTGTACACTATTTAGTTCAACAACTGTGTCTTACAAGAGTGTTGGAGAATGCCTCTTGTAATATGAAGGCAATCAGGAACTGACTTTTATTTATTTTAAGATTTCTTTATTTCTTCCTCTGTGTGTGTGTGTGTATGTGTGTGTATATGTGTGCATGTATATATATGTGTTCTTGTATGTAGGTGCCAGCAGAGGCCAAAAGAGGGTTCAGAATCCCCTGGAGCTAGAGTTACAGGTGGTTGGGAGCCACTTGATGTGGGTGCTGAGAACCAAACTCATGTCCTCTGAAAGAACAGCAAGCACTTTAAATGCTGAGTCATCTCTCCAGCCCCAGCAACTGAATTTTAATCTTTATTTCATTTTATTTTTTAAGATATCTTAGTTATTTTTATTTTATGTGTGTTTTGCCTGAATGCACATACCTGAAACATGTGTGTACAGTGCCTGCAGAGACCAGAGAGGGTGTCAGATCCCCTGGAACTGGAGTTACGGGTGATTGTTAGCCACCATGTGGGTGCTGGAAATTGTATCTGGATCCTTTGGAAGAACAGTCAATGTTCTTAACCACTGAGCCATCTCTCCAGTCCCTGATCAATTTATTTTTTGTTTTCTAATTATTTTTTAAAAAACACTAAATACTTGTTTTTGTTAATAACTCCTTATCTTTTTTGGAGATTTCATTACAGTATTTTATTTCTGAAAAGGCTGAATATAATGACTTCTAAGTGATTTTTGGTTATATGAATCATTTCTTGCAGATTTGAAATCTCTTCCTTTGCCATGCCACAGGATTGACTTAGTTTCCCTGGACTTTCTCATGATGCTGTTTTACAATTCAACTCCTAGGGGCCTCTTATTTCTCTTGGTCCTAGTTAGGATAAACTGTCAGCTTGACACAGCCTCGAATCACCTGAAAAAGAGTCTCCAATGAGTATTGACTTTATCACTGGTCTGCGGTTACATCTGTAAAGGATTGTCTTGTCTGAGTTGGTGCAGGAGTGCTCAGTACGCTCACGGCAGTGTCACTGCCTGCGTAGGTGGTTTTGTGCTATATAAGAAAGCTAGCTAAGTGTAAGCATAGGAATGACCCAGCAAGCAATCAGCATTCTTCTACAGCTTCTGCCCAAATTCCTGCTCCCCCAAGATGAATTGTAACCTGTAAAGTGAAACAAACCTTTTCCTCGCCTAAGTTGCTTTTGGTCAGAGTGTTTTATCACAGCAAGATAAAGGAAATTAGAACACTTTTAATGTTGCTTTTGTTTTTACAGTTCTTGTGAACCACAGGTACACAGGGTTTAAAGGATCAAATGGATGCTTCACTGTTATAAATTGGTATAAATAACACTCATATCCAGGTTCAGGTGCTTGCTTTCCAAACGTCACTGTATTCAAATTAAAAAAATTTTGTGTGATTTTTTTCACTTTTCGGCATTTTTCATTGCTTATGAACATTATACTTATACATTATTTTCTTTCATTCTTTATAGTTTTGGATATTGCTTTCTTCTAGTTTTGATCTCTTCATTTTTCTATCTCTACAATGTATCTGCAAATTTCTATTAGCCCATCCTCTCAATATTAATATTTGCTTTATTATGATGATGTAATTTATTTATGGCTGTACAAACGAGGATTACAGTCACTTTCCATTTCTTGGATAGATTTTGCTTTTCCTTCCTTTAACAAATATCTTTTGGAAAGCATTTGGTTACATTTCTATGTTCCTAGTTCAAATCCTTTCTCCTGGTTGGTTGGTTGTTGTTTCATAAAACACACCTTTGCACCTTACAGAATTTATCCCATGTGCTGTGCCATACTGAATCCTGTCCACATCATACCCACGTTTCGCCGATGTGTTACCCTCAGCTCTTTCTGCCCTACGTGCTGGGTACTGCATAACAAGCTCTGTGTTGAAATAAAAAATTTTGTTTATCAGGTTTCATCCTCTCTTTTTTTGGTCCACAAATGAAACAGTTCAATTAGTTTATTTGTTGATGTAAATCTTCCTGCCATAGTTCAGAAATATAAGGAAAATGTTTTTAGATATTGTCCACGTGTGCATTTAATCTAACCTCAAATTTATTTGATAATATGGCTCAATGTTATATGCTAGGTTGTAAGGTTAGTGGTTATTCTGGACTTTGGAGGTAATGCAGTATTGTTATCTGGCTTCCAGTATTATTGAATAATCCATGTGAATCTGGTTTCTGATATTTTTGTTAGAATGAACTTTTCTCTTAGAAAGCATGTGTGCTTTTGCTGTGAAATTCTACGATGGTGTGCTTTTTCCTTAATCTATTTTCATCCATTTTTTCTGGATATTCCTCAGGCACTCTTATGGTGGAATCTTATGCCATGCAAATCACTATTTGTTGCAAGTTATGTATTATAATCTTTCTTTCAACTTTATCTTGGGTATATTCTGCTACAATAGGTTGAATGCCTCTTATCTAAAATATTGGGAACCATATGTTATTCCATTTCATAAATAATCATATTTTGAAATGTTTCATATTCATAATGAGATATCTTGGGGATAAGACTAAAATTTTAACACAAAATTCATTTGTTACATATACATTTCTTGAAAGTAGCTTTATACAATATATGTATATGTTTTGCATATGTGTGTGTGGTCTATGTGCATGTATCTATGTATGCCTGTGAGGTGTGTGTGTGTGTGTGTGTGTGTGTGTGTGTGTGTGGCATATGCACATGTGTATTTGGGCACTCGGCAATGTTACTTTTTTATCAGCTGTGAAGTAAGAATCAATCTCATTAATGTTTTGCAAACAGCATAACAGTCATACCAACATCTTTTCTAACATTTAAAAAAATCTTTATTGAGAATTTCATACATGCATATAAGGTGTTTTGATCAAATCCATGCCCACTCCCTCCCCTCCAACACCTCCCATATCTCCCCATCAGTTTTTTCTTCTTCTTTATTTATTTTTATGGGCCTTTTGGCTACTCTAACATTCCCCCTCTGAAGTGGTAACCCTAAACTTTTAAGGATTTGATACAAGCTCCCAAATACTTTTGACATTTTTGGCCTTTGGAACAGAGTATGTTGCTAACAGGACCAAGGACGTTTTGACTTTTAGCCCAGAAACTGGCTACTTTTCTTTGGGGTCTTTTTACCCTAACTGCCTAGCCAATTCCTAACTTCTATCCTTATCACACCATCTTCTGAAGGGGTTATTCAATTCATACCAAGATCTTTTTCAAAAGAGACCATCAGCTTTATTTTTCTTGGTTTAAAATGCCACTTTTATCTTATGTTGGAATCTACTGTATGTAGACTCACTGGCTCTACAGAGTTTTCTGGTAATTTAAGGATTTTGGCTTATTTCACTAATTTTATATAACTTCTCATATAAGCAAAAATAACTCAAAAGTAGGATATTTGTTTCTTGTTTTAAGAATATTATATTTATTATTTTTATTTTATGTGTATGAGTATATTGCTTGCATGTGTGTAAGTGTACCCATGTTGTGCGATGTCTACAGAGGTCAGAAGAGGGCGTCAGATACCCTAGAACTGGACCCACAGATGGTTGTTAGCTGCCATTGGGTGCTGGAAATTGAATTCGGTTCCTCTGCAAGAGCAGCCCGTCTCTTAACTGCTGAGCCACCTCTCTAACTCCGGATATTTGTTTCTAACCAGCAATACTGTCGATAAAATAACTATTTCTTGTTTGTATTACTATTAAACTACTTCAAATTACCTTGTCAACCAGAAAAAGGATTCTTACCCATTGCAGGAGTGGCGAGGGTTTGGCGGCCAACAAGCTGTGCTGGTCCCAGTCCATCAAGAAAATCACTGAACTGACTGTCAGGTCCTAGTCGCACTCCAGGAAATATCAGGCTATAGCAAAAGGACAAAAACAGGTAAGATTTCCTGCACCTCTTCTTGTTAGTTTTTATCTGAGTTATTCTTATCAGAAGACACATACACTATTTAGACAGTTTGTTAATTTACTGATTGTTGTGCTTCCTATGAGCCAAGCATGCAGGGCTCATACTGAGAAAAGAAGACTAAGTTACAGTTTCAAATATAGAAACTGTTCTAGACATTTAGAAAGCCAAATCTATAAACTTTCATGAATATACAATTAACATAAATAGAAGATGAAAAATTTAGTATCATCAACTGTACATGTTTACCCATTAACTTTAAATGGTATGAATTATAAATTTTTGAAGAGTGGCTTATAATTTCTCGAATAAATATTAGAGCACATAGTAATTTCTGTTTTTAAAAAGATTTTACTTGGGGCTGGAGAGATGGCTCAGTGGTTACGAGTAGTGGCTGCTCTTGCAGAGGACATGGGTTCGATTCCCAGCACTCACATGGTGGATAACAACCGTCCATAACTCCAGTTCCAGGGGAATCCAACGCCCTCTTCTGATTTCTGTAGGCATTGGATGACATGGTGCACTTACACACATGGAGGTGATACACTCATACACAAAATAAAAATAATAATACATTTTTTAAAAAAGATTTTATTTTTATTTTATTTTCCTGTGTGTCACATACCCACACACAGATATGGATCCCCAGGGTCTGGAACTACAGCTCCTGGATTAACAGGCAGTTGTGAACTGCTCAAGGTAGTTTCTGGGACTTGAACTTGAGTCCTCTGGAAGAGCAGCAACAATTTCTCTTAACCACTGAGCTATCTCTCCAACTCACAGTATAATTTCTTGTTTACAAAGGAAACATGTTTAATTTATTGAATTTTGAAAAAGCTTATTTATTACTATAATTTATTTATTACTATATTTATTACTATAATTGTATGCGTGTGTGTGTGTGTGTGCACGCTGCGTGCACACATGCACAAGTGGGAGAGTACCCATACCTTGGATGTGTATAGAGGTCAAAGGACAACTTTTAGGAGTCAGTCTCTCCTTCCACCTTTAAGGGGATGCTGGGATTCAAACTTATGTCAGCAGGCTTGCACAGTAAGTGCCTCACCCACTGACCATCTTGCAGGCCCTCAATTATTCAATTTTTAACATATTAAATCTTTAGATTATCTCAAGATTTTATTCAGCCCAAGTAACAATTGCTTGTTAGAGCCTGCCTATTTCTTATGACAGTCTAACTGATTGCAGGCTAGAGTGTGTAATGTACATAAGAACAGTGACTTCTCTTTTTGTTCATTGATACAATTGTCTTTGGGAAATGAGGACAATGCTTGTTACACAATTGACACTTGATTAAATATTTTCTGAGTCAATCTACTTTTTTTAGGACAAGATTTGTTTCTATTACAAATTCATTATTCCACACAGCCCAAGGGACCTAAGCATTATATATATTTGTTGTTACTCCACCCAGAAACGAAGGAACTAAATCTGTAAGAGTAAGTGGTTAGAGCTGGCATGGTGGTGCGTGCCTTTAATCCCAGCACACTGGAGGCAGCGGCAAGTGGAACTATGTGAATTTCAGGCCAGCCTATTCTACATATGAAGTCCAGGCTAGCCAGTGCTGCACAGTGAGGCCCTACCTCAGACCTCCTACCCCCTGAGAAAGAGTAGGTGGTTTGTCCACAGTGTAAATAAATTTCATTTGGTCTGTTACTATGTGCATCAAAATACGTATCTCTAAACTTTGAATGGCACATTTTATATTACTTTATTCAGCTTCCATATTTGGTCAGCAAGTTTACCTAATCATCTTTTCAATTGCTGAGGCGTTCTTAGCGCATCCTCCTGAACACATAGATACCAATTATTTAATCAAAGAACCAGGGAGAAGCTAGTTTCAGGGGTGGGAAAGAGTATCATGCATATTAACTTGACATACTTTTATTTCACTTTCTAAGAAGTATAGAAAAAGTTCAGTGAAAGCAAAAAAATTATGAAAATTAGGTTGGTTTAAGAGAGGCTCAAATGAGAATGGCTGGACAATTCTGAAAAACTTATAAATGGTTCATCTCTGAGTAACCTTCTATAGGGTAGTGATTGTATGGAAGAATAATGACCTCAATAAATGTTCAGTTTTAACACAAACATTTTTAAACTTTTTTCTTTTAACTTTCTTCCTTTCTTTCTCTAGCTCTCTCTTTCTTCTTATTTATTTATTTATTTATTTATTTTGGAGGCAGGGTCTCCCTGTAGCTCCAGCTGGCCTGGGATTAAAGGCGTGTACCACCATGCCTGACCTAATCCTGCTCTTTTCTTGCTGAGGTAAAAATGATATAGTGATCTTTGAAAAACAGAAAAATGTAAGTTGCTTACATGTAAAAAGATTCAGGATTGCAACTTAAGAGCTCAGCATAGGTGGGAGATAAGTAGAAAAATCAGAAACCAGTTTGTCATTTCTAAATTTTCATTCGGATTTTGATGGTGGAACCACACAGCATTTCCTATATAAAAGAATTCATTAAAGGTGGCATTTTAAGACCATCTGTTCAGGGAAGAGCTTTACCAGCTGATGAACACCTTATTCATTCAGCCATCACTTTATTCCTTTGGTAGATTTAGATAGGTGCAGGGATGTGTCTGTCCATGGTGTTTATAGGATATCAGGTTGGTTTAAAACAGATGGTGAAACTTCTGGTTACAAGAACGTTTGGCAAAGTAATCCTGGAGAGGGCACTGTTTTCCAAAGTCTATAAAATGCATGTCTTAAAGCCGCGTGAGTTTGGTGCTACTCACTTTCCCTCAGAGCTGTAACTGTTGATGCTGCCATCGGTGGACTCCCGGCTTGGCTGTCTCACCATCTTCCTCATTTCAGCTGCCATGCCTGTCTCTGTGCTTCTCTGTATTGTACTTTTTAACTTCTTGTGGCCCGACTCTGCCAGGAGAGAATAAGAAAATAACACTAAGTTTTATTTAGCCAGTTTTCCCCTGAATAGCAATCAGCTCTGCAAATACAATAGTTAATTTTCACTATCTTTAAAAGTTTAATCAGAAAACCATGGCTTAGGAGAATAATCAGCTCAATTACATCTCTGCTGAAGTGTCTCTGCTAAGAGGGAGGGCAGCCAAAGGTAAATCAGGCCGCGGCCCCAGAGATTACCTGAGCCTGAATCGAAATAAACTCATTGTTGAATTGCTGCTGGAAAGTCATCGAAAAACTGGATCGTTACTTGATAGTACAATGGGAAGACAATACTGAGTAGTTTAACAGTTTCTCCCAATCTAAAATGCTCCAAATATGTTGGAATAGATCTAAAGGATCAGACCTACAAGCACAAGGAAACTTGCCAGCATTAAAAAATACCACAGTTTTGGCACTCCCACGGATCACCTACCTTCATAAAGAGAAACAGTATTGAGTTTACGCTTTTCACTATCTATCTGGAATGACATATAGGCTCCCTAGTAGGTAGAACAGGTGTTACTTTTATTTTAAGGCTTCATTCGAAAACTCTGCCTTTGGATTCAGCCATATGGTTCCTGTAGGGCAATGTAAAGGTTTGGTCTCCATTTGTAGTATGAACTCTACTAGCTCGTTCTTTTCATTTCACTCTTTTTCATTCTAAAATGGGGTCTTGCTATGTAGTCCAAGTTGGTTTGTTCCTCCCTACGTGGCTCAGGCTGGCTTTGAACTCCCAATACTCCCGCTTCCGCCTCCTATGTACTGGATTATAGGTATGCAGCACCACACTGGGCTCATTTAGTTCCTTATAAACTCTAAATTCAGAGCAACTTTCTTGATCCCTCATGTACACACTAATGAACATTTTATTTGTAGCCTGACCATGAACCTTGGAATCATTGACTTGATTATACTGGATCAGTGTCAATAGTAAGACAAACTTTTGGGCTTTTTCCATCCACACTTCTATATGCATTTCTGGTTTTCTTTTTTGTGTTCTATCATTTAAGATCAATTAAAATATATAATGAGTATACTTTATATACATAATATATGCACATACATGAAATTTTCATTTCCCATAATCTCTTATGAATTAAGTTAAATACATTCTTGATATGCATAAGAAAGATAACATTTTCTCCTCTCATTTATGAACACTGTATCTCCTGTATCTCTTTTGTAATTTTTCTTTTTTTCCCTTTTTTGGTCTTTTTGAGACAGAGTCTCTCTGTATCCCTAGCTGGACTGGAACTCACTATGTGGACCAGGTTGTCCTTGAACTCATTGAGACCTGCCTCCACGCCTGGCTGTAAATTTTCTAACAAAAGACATACTAGATGCAATGATGTACATATTTCTTGCACATTCTTAGTGAGCTTGGTATATTTCTGCTGTTAACTTCTTTAACATTATTTTGTCAAGGCAAATGTATAAATGCATATTACAAAATGTTTGAAAACTACAATATTAGCAAACTGAATATCCTTTATAATGTCATTCATCAGATGGCTAATAACTGAGCTGCTTTTCCTTTCTGTCTATACACACTTGTTTACGTCTCTTCTGTGAACCCTCTCCTTCTCCCTGCCTTTCCTTTCTGGTTGCTAGTCCTTTTATATTAAAAAAAAATTATTTATTATTTTTATTTTATGTGTATAAGTGTAAGACCTGTATGTATGTAAGTGCATCCATGTCGTGCAATGCCTGTGGAGGTCAGAAGAAGGCATTAGATGCCCTGGAACTGGAGTTATGGATAGCTGTTAGCTGCCACGTGGGTGCTGGGAATCAAACCTGGGTCCTCTGCAAGAGCAGCTGATGCTCTTAACTGCCAAGCTGTATCTCCAGCCTTGTGGTTGCTAGTCTTTAGTCACTCATGCTGGAATCTCTGAGACTCCTCCTGTTCAAGTCTTTTAGGTGTAGGGGCGCTGCCTTCAGGCATCTTTCATTTTTCTTATGTGCTTCCTAAATGACACAGCAGGGCTTGTAAGGGTTTCCAAGCACACATCTTCAGTCTTAACCTTCCTTCTGGATGCTAGTCTTAACTCCCAACTACTTGTTAGCTCCATTTGGAGAGTCGACAGACAACGCAGTATTAACTTATCCAAAACACAGCACAGTCTACATCTCTATCACCATCTACCACCAAACCCTCCTTCTTTAGTGAACTGTACATTCATGCACTCAGTTGTCCATGCCTGGATTCTTACAATCATCCTTGATTCTTCTGTGTAACACACCATACATCTCTTCCATCAGTAATCTGACCACTCTTCCCCATCTGCTGCTCTAGGCCTTCTTCAAGCCACTGTCATCATTCAACAAGACACCTGCAATATCCACCAAGCTGATCTTGTTGCTTTTGATATTTTTTTCTGCTCAGCAACTGAGCCACTCCATTGACTGAGGATCTTGCAGTGGGTCATCATCAAAATGAAGGGGAGCAGAGCATGGAGGGCAAGAGTAGTCTGAATACATATAAAAATGCCAAAGATCATATTTGATAAAGAAACATTTTTAAACTGTTTTCATTTTATGTGTATGAGTGTACTGCCTGTATGTAGGTAGGTGCACCTATATCATGCAATACTTGTGGCGGTCAGAAGAGGACGTCAGATCATGTGAAACTGGAGATACGAATGGTTGTTAGTTACCATGTGGGTTCTGGGAATTGAACCCGAGTCCTCTGCAAGAGCAGCCAGTGTTCTTAACCACTGAACCATCTCTTCAGCTCCCAGATGTAAACATTTTTAAAAATAAAAAAAATCCAGCTGGGCATGGTGGCGCACGCCTTTAATCCCAGCACTCGGGAGGCAGAGGCAGGTGATCTCTGTGAGTTCAAGGCCAGCCTGGTCTACATAGTGAGTTCCAGGACAGCTGGGGCTACAAGGAGACCCTGTCTCAAAAAGATTAAAAAAAAAAAATCCTAATTTGTTTTCGTGGATCATAAAAAACTAAGCACATGCCTGTAATCACAGTACTTGGGAGGTAGAAGCAGGAGGATTCCAGCAAGTTCAAGGCATCTCTAGACTGGTTAAGGCTACATTATAGCAGGACACTGTCTCATAAAAGAAACAAAACAAAAACAAAAACTGAAAACAAACATCAAGTACTAATAAAACAAACAAACAAACAAATAATAAAATGTCAAACATGAACTGGTCCTGTGATGCCTCTGAGATCCACCTTCTCTTTACAGTCTATAGACCCTGGTCTTCCATTCACAGTCTTCCTGCATTTTCTTGAATGTCGACACCACAAACTTCCAGAGCTCTTTACTCTCTGTCCTTTCTGATCTGGCCTTGTTTGCTCACTCTGTTCATGTCTCTGCTCCGAGGTTAACTCCTCAGACAGGCTCTGCTTATTCCTCCCTCTTTTTCCCCTTGCTTTAGTTTTCCTTGTCATGTGGTCTCTACCATGAGACTTTCATCTGTTTGCTGTTTGTTCTCAGCTAGAATGTAATTTCTAGGAGGACAGGTGCCATGTGAATGTTGCTTACTGCTATCCTTAGAATCAATGAGATTATTTACAATCTTGATATTGGGATCATATCACAATATAATATACTATTAAATATTTCTATCTTTATTCTCTTTAATGAACACATGGCTCTATGATATAACTTTGTGGATTCAAAATTAAACCGTATCTGTACTTATGTGCATTCCACTTAATATAGGCAAGTTTTTACAGAATAAATCCCTAGAAACTGAGATGCTGGTGAGCGTGGTGATTTCTAACTTCCCTTCAGAAAAGAATGTGGCCATCACAGTCCTAACAACACCCATACCATATGGATGTCCTAGTTTTCCTACCTGAGACTCAGGAATTCTTTTCCTTTTCCCCCTTTAGGTCTCTTGTCTGTCTCATCTGACTGGTTGCTGCAGAGCACACATACTTACTGAAAGCAGGAACTTCATTTGTGGCCATTATAAATGCTATTTAGTTTAATTTTGTATTTATTCATTTATACAGCATACTTCCTTCTTAGGTGCAGCTCATTTAAGAAGTCAGTGGGTTAACAGTGGCATTCTGTTCATGCTCATGTTTTGGTTTAGATCTACTTCAGAGATAAGAAAAGCCCCCTGGCTATATGAGTTGAATATTATAATACCCATGTTCAAAATCAGAAATTCCTCAAGGTCCCAAAATTTTGGGTGCTGACATGTTGCCATAAATGAAAAATTCCTTATGTGATAGGTAGTAATGAAAATACAGGTGGACTGAAATGGTTTCTGGCAGAGGGACAGTCAGTTTTATCTAAGAGTGTGGCCCTTAGTAGAGTCACTGCATGCCAGTGGCTGGCCCCTCACCCATGAGTATATGGACAGCACAAACTGTGCTGTCAGTGGGTTATTAAAAAGAACATGGGCTGGAGAGATGGCTCAGTGGTTAAGAGCACTGACTGCTCTTGCAGAAAACCCAGGTTTGATTCCCAACACCCATAAGGCGGTTATGAACCGTCTTTAATGGTTTCCCTGGAACCTGAAACCCTCTTCTGACCTCCGCGGCATTGCACAACATGGGTGCACTCACATACATGGAGGCAATACACTCATACACTTAAAATAAAATGTCTAAAAAATATCTTCAAACGTATGAAAAAAGAACATGAAGTTGGGAGGGGGTGGGGGCAGAGAGTGGACGTGAGTGATTAGAGGGAGGAGCACAGGGTGAATATGATGAGAATACATTGTATGCATGTGTGAAATCCTGAAAAAAAAATAAAATACTATTACTTTTTTCAGGCTATGTGTACAGTGCATATGAAATATACACACACTTTATGTTTAGACTTGGTTCTCATCCCCCGAGATCTTAATATGCATATGCAAACACCACAGAATCTGTAAAAGACAGCAAAATCTGATACGCCTTTGTTCTTGAGCACTGCAAATGGGCGACGCTTAATCTGTATTACTACAGCTGATGTTAAGTAGAATTAAGACAAGTATTTACCAAGGATACGTAAG